TCTTAGGGGCAGGTTGAGAGCACCGGGAGCAACAGCCGAAGGGAAATCCCTGGCCGTCCCTGGGAGCGCGGGACGAAGAGACCTTGGAGAGCTTCGGTACGAGGCAGGGGTGAGTGATACGAGCCCTTCTGTATGAGGGGAGGGGGTGCTGTGCGTGCCCTCTCATGCTCTGAAGAGGGTGAAGTTCATTTTACTTCGTTTTCAGCTATGCAATCCCAGAAGAAGTGTTGCTCAGATGAGAAACCTGTAATAATCTGTGAAACATAACTGCAATTTGCAAATAATGAGGGGTGAGGTGGGATAGGAAGAGAAAAAGAAAGTGCCTTTGCTGGACTGCAGTGGTGTCCTGGGGCGCTCAGCAGTACCTGCGTGCTCAGATGTGCTCCCTGCCACCCTGAGCCTGGCAGGCACGGGTCAGGGAAGAGGGTGCCAGTAAAGGCAGGTGGTGGGGCTCCTGCCCCCCTAGTTTTATAGAGAAATTTGTCTGTGGCAAAGAGTTAGATGCAGCTCTGCTAGTAGTATAAGGGGTTGCTGTTGCTCTAGATTGGATGCTTTTGCTCCAAGTCTTTTGGGGACTGGCTTAAAGGCCGGTACTACACTTGTTTGCAGTCACAAGCAGCCAACCTCTATGTATACTGTATGTACTCAGGGCTTGGGAGAAGTGGGGGGAAGAGACTTTCAGGTCTTCTGATACCCCTTTTTAGATTAACATAAACCCTGCTGGAGAAAAATGTTTTAGGTCCTGCCTGCTGCCTTCAGCTTTATAAACTGTTTTGTAGGTCTCGTGGAATGAGATGGGCTCCCAGTTGCATTACAGTTATGGGAATGACTCCCTAATATAGAAAGCTAGGGTATAAAAAGAGTGTGTTTGTGTATGCAAGTGGCTCGTCCTTCCGCTGGGTGGTGGGAGGTGAGGCCTGACTGGGTAAGTGCTTGCACCTGGGATGCCACTGATCACAGCCAGGTGTGGGCTCAGTCTCCTTAGAGGAGCCTCACACCCTAAATCCCAGTGCTCTCTATCATCTTCTATTTTATTTCCAAAGACCCAAACCATTTGGCCTAAATTACAGTAGTGTTCTTGAATTACCCTTTTGTCTGTGCTTTGGTTGTATAAGGGCTAGCTTTAGCATATCTTGCATGCTTAAAAGCAAGACGCTTTACCTCTCTGCGGAGGTGCACTGTGTCTGCATAAACTGTTGTGTTCGCGGCTTTTCTTTTTAAAAAAAAATAAATGTTTGTAGTGCTGTGGTTAGGTTAATTAACTCTGCGCTCTTGAGATGCCTTTCGTCTTGTTTGGAGCTTGGGAGCTGTAGTTGCTTAGCATTTCATGGGCTCAACTTTCAAACTACTTGAAATACCTAGCCTTGGATGGGTGTTACTGAGATGGTCATTTGGCTTCTTAGTGCTCTCTTGAGATACGTTGTTGCTTTATTGTTGTGAAGAGAATTTTTAAAAGCTTTCATCCAAGGACCTTAGCCTGTAGATAGCCTCTCTGCTACAGCCTGGTCCAACTTTCACTGAAACCAGTGAAAATCATTCTGTTAACCTCAGTGGTAGCTGGGTTAGCTGTTCTGGCTTGCAAAAGTACTCAAGAGTATTACCACTGTAGATGCTGCTGGGATACTACAGCTGTAAAAGTCTCATTACAGCCGCAAAATTTTCCAGGTATGTACACTGGGCAGCAACTTTAATCCGAGTTGTTTGGTGTTTCCCATGGTGTTCTTCTGTTGACAGCAAAAGCTGGTGGAGTGTTTGTTTGTTTGGGGGATTTTTGAGTACTTCAGTGAGGGAAGCAAAAAAAAAAAAAAAAGTCCTTGTTTGCTTTCTTCTGCAGCCTTAAAGTCACAGTAAAGAACTCTAATTTCCTTTAAGAAATCTCTCCCCCCACATTCTTTTTGTTGTGTTCTGCTCCCAAAAGTCTCATTGCTGTTGTGGAACTCCTGATATCCATGTGGGGTACTCTTATTGGAGGAAAAAAAAATAGTGTGTGTCCTTTTTCACCAGCTTAGTGAGATCAATGAAATTGGACTTTAATGAAGTTGGTCCCTAGCATGAACAAAGATGGCTTCGTGTGAATTCTTGGGAGAGACAGATGGAGAAAAAGGATGAGGTGCATCTCTAAGATGCCAAGGGTGATTCTGGTTGAAGGAACGGAATTCACCGGGCTCTGGTTTCTCTGACTGGGGTGAACATGTCTGTGGGCTTTGCTACCTGTAAGGCAAAAGCTGATGAATCTCACAGGTGTTGAGTGTGATGGTGTGCAGCTGGACTAAGGGCCTTGGCAGGACATTCATGTATATGAATCAGGATCTTGTTACTTAGATGATTTGAAGTAGTACCATGCGCACAGCTGTTCCTCCACCCCTAGTTTGGTAGGCATGTCTCCAGTGCTCCTGAAGGGCAGCCTGCATCTGTCCCCAGTGCACTGCTGCTCTGTCTGACTCCGATACAAGCACTGCTGCCCCTGGTCCCCAGAGCTCTGGGTGCCGCTTCCTACACATCAGCTGGTGGCTCTGCCTTCAGCATTGGTGAACGTAGAGATAAATGGCTTGGGTTATTTCCAACCAGGTTGTCCTCTGAGTGCTGTGGGTAACCACCTGAAATGCGGTGTCTCTCCAGGGGCCGGGAACCACCATCAATCAGCTGGTGCTTAGGCTAGAAGTACCAGTATCAAAATGATGGGTCTAAAGTATGGAGGGGTTGGAAGCAGTGGGAATTAGAGGAAAGTTTTGTGTCTTTCTAGAAGCCAGTCTGCTCACTGGCAAGAAAGAAGGTACTGGACTATGTTTTGGGGCTGACTTTTCCAAACAGCCTTCATGAAGGATGTGAAGAAAGGTAGAGAAGACTCTGGTCCGGTATAGTTTTCTATCCCTAATTCTTTAGGTAGTAAAGCCTCTGCTCAGAAGGAAAAGCAGACAGTAGGACTAGCATAGTCTAGCTGGCTGATAGTTTGTGGGGTTTTTGTTTGTTTGTTTTTTTTAAAAAAAGCCCAGAAGAACCTTTGTCTTTGAGGGAAAATGCTATATGAATTGCAAATTTTTTAATTATTATTTTTGCTCTGCTAGTATTTGGTCTTGCAGAATCTGTGTGATTGCCCCTCACCTTGATCTTACTGCTGGTGAACTCGGAAGCAAGGAGAAGTGGTGTTGACTGCTGTAGAACTGATGGTGTATTTAAAGATTAGCTTGTGCTTAACTATACTTTTTTGTTGGACTAGATCCATGTGCAGAATGCTGTTTCTTATGTTATATCCTTTTGTAAAAGGGAAATAATATTTCCTTCCCCTTTGAAGCTTGCAGGAAGCTAACTTGTAAGTTTTGACATGTATTCAGGGTTTTTTTGATGGACGGTGCTATTTAAACATGTGTCTTAGATACATATGGTCAAATGGGGCAGAAAACCGGTGTAACACTCAGGCCTCTGTGAATCATCCCTAGTCTAAGACTGCCCTCTTTTGGACATTATCAATTGCTGCACTGGGCGCAGAGGGGTTTCCAACTAAAGTCATTCTTGCATCCTTCCTTTGTAATTGACTCTTGCTTTTACTTTTTTTTTTTAATGTTGGTTGTCATTTTGGAGGAAATGCTAGCAAGTTTCAAAATAATTCAAGACACTTGCTGCTATATTCACTCCAGGGCAGACAACTTTTGTCTAGGTGAATTTTTTTCTCCCCCCTTTAGAAACAAGGGAGGTTGATGGAAGATTAGAGATAAAACAACCTTTCAAAACATTTGGTTAAATGTAGCAAGGGTAGAGTTCCAAGGCACCAAAGGGAGGTAGATGATGAAACCTCGCTGGATTTTTGGAAGGATCTCAACATAAGTACCTCAATGCCATAAGAAATCTTGCCCTGTGTTAATATGCAGTGTCCTAAATCTCCTAGCTGATCATATATGATTTTTGAATTGTATATTACTTAAATGTTTCAAGTAACATCTTTTTAGTAATCTGACCAGGGCAACAAGAAGGTAGATGGACTAAAAGTTGTCTTTGGCTAAAGTAATGCTGAAAAGTTTGTTTAGATTTAGCTAGACTGGTAAGTTAGGCTGGTAGACCCATTTATCCAGCCTCATTCTGGTGCCTAGAACAGAAAATGTTTAGTTTATTCATCTGTCAAAGTTGGGGAAAAAAAATTTCTCCCATGTGATTTAAGGTGACACAGACTTGGTGTCATTGGTTCATGGAACACTCTCCAATCTTGCTGTTAAACTCTGTCTTGATAGATTTTGGTGAGTAGCTTATTGTTTGTTTTAAGGAGAAAACATATTTTAAAAGCACTGCTGGCGTAGGAGCTTATCTGTTTTATTTTATCAGAATGCTCCCATGGAGCCTGATTTTTTTTGCCTCATTTCATGGGATATCCTGAGGCCAGAGGAGAGATTCTTGCCCTGATCCATATTCCTGGCCAAGGCATATATGCCCTTGACGTTGAGAGTAAGCCAACAGATGGAAGACACTAAGGCTTGGAGAAGAGCGCAGTCCAGAACAGCGCTGTAGGCAGCTTAGTGAGACCATGACAGCTTAAATTGTTTTTACTTAACTTTTCAGGGACATCTTCTCGGAGTGAGCATACCTACCATTGGGTTGAGAACTGCAAAGGGCTAAATTACTTTTTGGCTTGACTGGGGTCGTGTATTTGTCACTTCTTAAAGGAATACTGGAAACTTAGGGTCACCCCAGCACAATCTTCTGTCAGTGTCTGGGCTGGACAAGGATTCAGACAAACCTTTAGCTGCCACGTATTCCCAACAGCGTTCTTCGGCTCACTG